AACCTTTCTGAATAATGATCCAGAAGATATCCTAGGGACACCTACTATAGATGCACTTTTCAAATTAAAGGGCTTTATTCTACATTAATTTCTTATGCAAGTTTTAAACGAGCTCAACATATGATTCAGGTCTTTAAAGGCTCCAGGGCTCTCTAGGATTAATTCACTGTTCTTTTCACACATAAATTAATTGTTTTGTGTTCTCAAAAACAGCAAACAGCACATAAATCAACCGGTTTAGAAAAGGCGCAAGGCTGGTACCTTTTGCAAATCACTGAAGTTTGCTATTTACACTTCATTATTATAATTTGTAACTTTTAAAGGAAAAGCTGGAAAAGTAGGACATATGTTGTTAATTCCAAGCAGATTTCTTGAGTGCATAACTCATTTTAGCAATTTGATTCCTTGAAATACAAAAGTTGTGGAGCACTGAAAAGCCATTCTTCCAGCACTCTTAATTATATTTTCCCCTGTTAATAATTCAATTACACATCACTAATGTATTTGCAAACATTCCCACGTGAAAATATCTAGTTGTGGGTTTTTTTTTTTTATTTCCCTCTTTTTGCCTTAAGCCTTGTAAGAGTGAGATTTGCAGATGGAAAAATGTGAAAATCTAAAGACGTGAGCCCCGGAGCCCTGGGAGGGCTGTGCCCAGCCCATGGGCTCCCCCAGGCACTCCTGCTGAGCACACACACAGGGATCTCATTTTTTAACTCCAAAATATAATCCTGTTTTTGTTTATTTGTTTGTTTTTTGTTTGGGTTTTTTTTGCAGGCACTGTGTCGCAGGCTGAGAAGCTGGGGGGAAACGGGTCCATCCCCTCGTACCTTTGCCCTGTGTGGACAGCCAGGGCAGCACACCACTGCAGAGAAATCGTGACTTCAGATGAGGGCTGAGCCCTAATTTTGCAGAATACCCCGCTTCAGGGACCTTGGCAAGCAGCAACTAAAGCAGATGACACTTGCAGCAAGTGGGGCAAGTTTAATTTACAAGCAGGACAGGTACTGTGCTCCCTCCTGAACAGGGATGTCCCGGTGCCCTCTCAGCTTGAAGCAAGAGAGAAAACTGCAGCCAGAACCTGGCTAGCTGTAACTCCAAAAATAACTGTTTCTCCCTCTGCCCTTCCCAGAAATAGAATATGAAACCACAGCATCTTGGCCAAATTGGAATTTGCATAGTTCTGCGAAGCATTTCCTTCAGTTAGGAATGATTTAATTATTCTTCACTTCCTCTTCTAGAAATCATTCCTGGATAATGAGGTTAGCATAGAGCAGATATGTTTCAGTCAAGAAATAGATGTAATTCAGTGCCAGAAGGCTTTTACAGTTGGATTTAAAAAAAAAAAAAAAAAGATTTTTGGACACTTCTAAATCGAAGCAGCAGTATAGAGAAGGTTGGCTATTGAAATGCCATAGTCTGAGACACCAGATCAGTGGGTGCTTTAACCCAGTGCTGTGTCAGCCCCCTGAAGAATTAGAGGACAACCACAACTCTATCGCGGCCCAGATTCTTACACAAGGGTAACAAGGCACATTTTAAATAATTATTAAATAATGACAAGCTACATTACCTCCAGAGAATTGTTTATCTCTGCAAATCGAATCACTGAAGTCAAAGTACAGTAGAGCTAAAATACTTTCAGCATAAAATGGAAGACCTATTGCTGCACCTTTGGGTGCTTGGAAATGGTGAATCCTGCAAGGCAGTCAAATATATTTGATGACAAACAGTTTGATGAATTTATTATTCAAGCAACAGTCACAGTAACCTGTCATATCAATCAAATGTAGACATTGCTACAAATGAACTGAGAAAATTATTTTCTTTTTAAAGCTTGATTGGCCAGACATTAAGAAAACCTAATTTGGAATTTAAGAAGGGAGCATAACAGTTTGTGTTTGGTAAAAATCATACAGTGGAACATAAGGAATTTTTCTCTGAACGTGGGGAAAACAAGACTGTGAACGTAAATACAGCCTTTGTATCATATAACCATCTTCTAGTACATAACAGGGAATCATAAAACATTTTCAAAGTTCAGAAAGTACCTGAGCTGAAAAAAGAGCTTTGCCTCAATTCTTATGGGAACAATTGGAGCAAATGCTGCATTTGGTGTGTAAACATCCTCCATCTCAGGAACAGAATGTCTAACATTTTCTTTCCTAAAACAAACAGCATCAGCTTTTGCACTAAAACACATTGTCTCCATACCAACTGCATCTTCAACAGCTCCATTACCAAACCGAGTTTTAAGGAGCTTTTCAGTATTTTAACTATATTTCCAGAATCTTAATTTCTGAATAATTCCTTGATTATTTTTAGGTCAGTTTAGCAGAGTTGACATAAAGCTGTTCTCTATGAGATAAAATGAAAAAAAAAAAATTTTTTGCTTCAATGGGTCCTTTAGCTGGTGTTGGGTGCATGATACAGTGACTCCATAAACAAAGTTATATCAGCTAATACTTTTTAGCATAATTAACAATTGCAGCTTCTGGGGCTCTTCACCTTTCACACTCTGATTTTTGTATCTCTATAGAAAAACAAAAAATATTCAGAGAAGCTAGTGCCTTACTAAAATGTAATTAGCATGTCTTTGGGTACCATCTAAACAAAGGCAGAAAAACTCAGCGACACAGTATCAAATTAAAACTGGATGACTTCTCTGGTTATATTGAAAAATTTGCATGTAATTTGCATCTTTAGGATGCAAATTAGTGAACAGAAAAATCTTGCAGCATGTCCTAGAAAACAACTCAGGACAAAAATATCCAAGACAATTGCAGTAAACTTAATGTGATGAAAAGGATGATCAGAAAATTATTCTGTTCCTCTCATGGGTAGGTCATTGTTTAAAAGTCTTGGCTGAATGTTTGTAAGAGAAGGCAGGAAATAACCCCTCAGCCAGAACATCAGCTCTGGATGTGTGTACAGAGCTTCTTGTGTTCCAGGAAGTGGAGACCAAACCAGAATCCTTCTGCAGGCTCCAACATGGAAACTTTTGAAAATCAAATCAAACTTAGGGGACCCGGAGATTCAGGGGATACAGACTCAGCATGAACCCATCATACTGCAGCTCCGCTCTCCCCTTTGTCTTCTCTCCACTAGGAGAGAGTCATCTCCTAGCTGGAAAACATTAAGCCATTTCTTGATCTGCCAACTTGCATTTGACTCTAAACCAAGCGGGCAGTAACGCTCTGCTTCAGCACTTCCCCACCGTGACCCTCCAGCCGTCGTTATGGATGAACCAAAGCTCACGTCTGCAAGCTGACTTCTCTCCTCTGCGGCCCATACCCAAAGCACTCCAGCCCTGCCTCGCCTGGTGATTTACAATACACGGTTTTAAAACTGTCAGAAATTGTGACAATGGTTTGTGTAACACTTCAAACGGATTGTAAGACCTCCAGGTCTGGCTGGTTAGAGAGCAGAATTTAATTTCAGTCCATATATGCTAATTTCTTGGTTAGGTGACCTGCAAATACACAAATCAGCAATGTGGAACTTGGGGATTTATTGCTGTGTTTTAGGTTTTCCTGTTGCTATTAGATTTTTTCTAATGTAAAAGAGTAGTTACAGCTTGTCATTGCTTTCCTTTCTTCGGAGATCCCTGTAAAATGTTTGATGAACATATTTTTCTGCACGTTCAGAAGTCCTTATTGCATATATTAAATAAATCCAGTTCTGAAAGTGCTGGTTACCTGGCTATTGTGATGCTGTTTCCTGTAAGGTGGGGAGTGCTTTTCCTTTAGAATCTTTAGTGAAGTCACCTTGAGATTTTTTGCTATGTACAGTCCTCCAGTGTTAGTAGCTCTGCAGCTACTAAGACACACAGAGGAAAAATAGTTTCAGAAAGATGTAAATCCAAATGATCTTGAAGGACAGAAGAATATAAAAATGTTATTACTGCCTATTGAGACTGGACATATTTTTGATTTATATTTAAAAATATTTTATCAGAAAAAATGTTACCTTGTACATTGCATGTTCTTTTGAACATTAATAAACCAACACGAGTCAACATTTGAATGCTCTGATGTGTGAAACAAGGTATTAAGGAACACACTGGTTAGTTCTACTTAATGTATTATAAGGTTACTGCACATGAACAGAATATTTTTAGAGGATAATGAATGCCAAAAGCAGCTTAATAATGTCTCTAGTAACAGATAATAAGAAATTCCCTCAATGCTGCTAAGATGAACTTGGTTAATTATAGCAACTGATCTTACAACTGGCATGTTTAACTGAAATAATGACTGTAAATCCTGTTTGTCATCCTGGAACTCTGGACTAACTGTGCACTGATGTTTGACTGTTTCTGGTGTGGGCTCAGACGGAACCCTTGCTTCCTCTCACCTGTGTGTACAATCACCCACACTACGTAACTCCAGACAGTCAAATCAGAAGAGTAAGATGTCTGGCCGTGTCCCCTCACCTGCACCTAGACCGAGGAGCTATGCTTTAGGAGAAGACAACTCCTTGAAAAACTCTCTGCGACGACTGTATTTCAACACAGCAGAAAATGACAAATTATGTGAAAATTCTTTGGGAATCGTACAATACATATTCATCTGCCTGTCAGCTCTCACTTGATTTGTGCCTCCGCCAACAGTTTGTACACTGAAAACATAACAGGTAAATATTTATGAAATATTTGTGGTAGCTGTTAACCACTTTCATGTAATTCTCTTGGGAGATCTGTCACACTGGTACACTGCATACATGCTGGGGTTGAGGAAAAACATTTCTTAAGCTGTCGTGTATCCAATAAGCAAGCTCAGGGAACAGACTATTTCAAACTCAGCTTAGCCTGGTAGGAAGAACTTGAAATGTGTCTCTCACCAAAAGATTTCCAAGTGGAAATGCAATAATATGTTAATGAGGAAATTCTTTACATAGCAAAAGGCTCCCAATGAACAATTACTTTGTATTTCACATAAACCTTTTCTAACACAATCTTTATATGGGGAAAAGGAAATACGAAAGAAAGAACAACAGCATAGAAAACATCATATGAAATGTATTTGAGTATTTCCCAAGTAGCGATTAAACCCCTTCCTGTGGAAATCTGCCTCAGACCTTTATCACAAACCAGAATAAAACTAAAGAAACCTGACAGTCGATGCAGTCATTCTCTCCCAGTCCAAAAACTGCAAGATCTGGGGAAAATTTTAAAAGACGGATTATTAGAGAACTATCACATGATATACAAGATTAGCACTGTATCAAATATCAAATCCAGGCACTTTTTAATACATTCTCAATACAATTCTTTTCTTCTAACTGGGGAAGCCCGGATGCAACATTTGATACTGAAGATGCTGTTCCAGGGCAACAGACTAGATTGGCTGGGATGACTAAGGGCATACAAAGGGAAAACTCCCTAACACCTCCTGGTGCAGCCAGCCACCATCAACAGCCCTGTGCCCACTGTGCCAAATGCAGAAATGCAATTTCTGACAATCCATAAATGCTTGTCCCAAACTGAAGAGGGGGTGGGGAGCGCAGGCAGCTCTTAACAGCTCCTGAACAATGGCACAGCACATCTTATTGCTAAACCAACATTGCATTTAGGGCAGGAATGGGATCAGACTTAAGGGGTTGAAACACTCTTCCCAGAATCAGTGACCACAACAGCTAATGCTCTCACAGTGCTACGTGCCCTTTTAAAATGACAGTGAAAGAAACTCAGCGGTTACAATACATTTGTGCGCATATTCCTCCACAGAATTTTGTAGACCAAAATCAAATACAATAAATACATTTCTTCCAAAAGTTACTGTGTACAGAATACAGCATATAGATATGAGAAACACGAAATATTTACAGCTGTAGCATTAGTTAAAGGCTTGACCTTGCTTTTCTGAGAACTGTTGAATAGCTGATAAGGCTGTTCAGGCTGTTCCCTGGACTAAGGCGTCTTGAGTTCAGACTGTAGGAAATCACATTGTTTTTTTTCCTGATTATTTTTTCACATGGATTCCTGACACAGTTCTACACAACAAGACAGTCCTTCTACATAATCCTGGATATCCAGCCCTTAACAGTCCTTTGAAGAGCTCTGCACTTTCCCTCCATAAGTGCACTTCCTAGCCTCACGCAAGACTGCAGAAGCCAAGCTAAGACAGTACCTCAAAGTACAAGACCTATTAAAAAGTATGAATCAAAACCTGATCTCTGCTGACACTCAGCAAACCATGCTAGACTGCTGCAGCTAAGGACTGCCTCACATCATCACAGCTCATCACATTAATCAACATTAACTAAGCATTTTGTAGTATGGTTATGATCATTTTATTCTTGCAGATAGACTGTGTTGAGCAGAATAACTGTAGTTAAGTGTTGCGGTGTCTGTAGTCTTAATTCTAGTCTAACAATCTCCCCAGCTATTTCAGCTGAAAGCAAGCCTGCAAGCAACTTGAAATGCATTAATAATGATAATGAAATAATGGTATAACATTAATAATAATGCTAAAGTTCAGAAATCATCTAGTCTACCCTCCCCTACTCTTGTTTATTTGAAAATCTCAAAGCAGTTGATCTAACTGATATTGGAAGGGCTTTTCTTATTGGCATAAGGATGAGTGTCACATTAACTGTTCACCTATCAACAGGCAAAGTGTCTATGTAAGGGAGATGAATTCACTAAAATAGTTACTTCCCTTTGAAGCTGACAGAAAGTCAGGAAACTTTTTAATAGTGCTTTTCCTCCTTGCTTGTTTCTTTGTATAAGGCACTGAAGTCTGCTTGCTTTATGAAATCATACTTGCTAAGTGTCATTTACCCTAGTTTCGCTAGAAAATCCTTTGGGAGTTGCAGCTTGTAACATTCTAAGCTCCACTCAAAGTGAATCATCAGAGACTAGCAAGCTTTAAAAATTAGATTCTTCTAAGTCAGCCAAAATCAGAAAGCCAATCCCTCGCCGCCAAAATACTTGAAACAAATTGCCAATTCCAGCAATTACAATGATTTTTTCATGTATTAAGCTTTCTGTCTCTTGATTACGAGTTAATTAGTTCTTCAGCACTGAAGACGTTTCTGCTGTAAATAAAATGTCTAGTTTTAAACAGAGAGGGATAAAAAAGCAAATACTTCTCAAAACCCTCCTTCCTCTTTCTCTCTCTCTCTCAAAAGGAGAAAAACTTCACTAGAGAACCACTAACTTCCATGAGTGAATTTTCTAGGCTAAAAATGATCAGTCCCTCCCTAACTCCCAAGAAGGCTCTGAGAATTAAAGTTAGCAAAATCCACTGAACAAGGAAAGGCCACTGTGAGGTAGTATCACAGCATTCCTCTTACATAGCTTATATCTCTGTCTTTTTGCAGAACTACTAGAGCTTTTTTAACCCCATTTCACAAAGATTTCAACTCAACCTTTTATGAAAGGAGAACTATAAATAGCCTCTTAGATTAAAACCCTTAACAGCTGAGAACGCTGCAAAGGGAGGTAGATATTATCCACCTTTCAGTACTACAAATTGGGGCTGGAAGGGCTTAATTACCAAGATATACTTAAGAACACACTAAGGGCTGCTATAAAAATTACTCCAATTACAGCAGCATCACAGAAATAGCTTCACCTGGGAGAGAGGAAACCGCCACTTCTCTTCCCACATACCTCTCCTGTACCCCATGCTAACAAAGGGCAGCAGGAACAAACAGCAACTTTGTGCCATGCAACATCTCTGCTGCAGGTGTAAAGTCCTTTCTCCCAGGTGGCTTATCAGAACCTTTCACACCAGGCAAGCCAAGGATCTGGCTTCTTTCGTTTTGACTTGGAAATCTCAAATTGGAGATACACTGTTTGTGTAACTTCAGGCAATAAAATAATTTCAGCCAATGTGTTAGTTTAGAAGTGTCTCAGGCAGAAAGAGATACTTTTAACCCGTGATTTGGGTTAGAACACATGAAATTCACAGTTTCACACTCCCTGTCCTGAAATGGGGAATTAATTGTTTTTCTTATGATTTTGTCTGTGATGACGTATTCTTATTTAAGATTTTTATAATTACAAATAAATGTGTAATTCCCAAAGAATGTTCAGTGAAATAAGTTCTGTTAACAGCCAAGAAGTTCTCATGGTTTCAGTACTCCTGTGCTAAGCTTTTTGCAATGGTGCTCAGCTGGATATTTGAAGTTCCTTCATATATTGTACCTGAAATGAGAAGAAAATAAATCAGAAGACTATAAAACCACATATGAAGAGAGATGGAGATACTGTTCTAACAGTCCAGCTGGAACATTTACAATTATGAAGTGAAGCTTTATTGAGCAAGTTCTAGAAACAGCATTATTATTTATATAAATATTCATATTTTATTATCTGCAACAATTAGAATACTTTTCTGCTGGTACAACATAATGACAAGACATTTTCCTGAATAGCAATTCCTAAATAACCAACAGAAATTAAGTATTTACAAATGCTATCAGCAATAAAGCTGAAAGGGTAATACTGTTAGAAATGTCAAACTGTTAGGTCCGAGGATTATACTGGTAAACAGGGAAGTCTTGAAAATAAATTCCACATAAATTCAGACCTCAAAGCCAAAGTATTTTCAATATATTTGAAATGCAATTCTTTTAACAGAATGGGACACAACGTGTGTGTCTGTATTTTATCGGTAACTAACTGAACATTTTAATTAGTCTTACATACACAGGTATTTATACCTAAAGTTTTACCTTCTTATACCATAGCCTTTGAATCAACTTTGATTACAGTCCCACAGAAAAATATCTTTAAAAAACAGCCAGTCCTTCACCCTCGAACTTTAACACTACTAATGCTACAAGAAATACTTGTTAAGAAACTATCACTCACCTATCTTGCAGTCACGATAGTACTTTTCTATTGGATAATTTTTTGTGAATCCAACACCACCCATCCATTCAATACATTTACTAGTTGTCAGTGTTGCAACCTATGAAAATAGTTTCAGAGTTACGATTTCAGGATTCAGCTTCATGCATGTGGTAGTAAACTTTATTTTTTGTAGCTATTTAAAGTAAAAACAAAACAGCAATTAAAGCAGTTACTAGAATAAGTGGGAAGAAGAAGGACTGGTAATTTTGTATTCATCTTATTTATGCAAGTTATTTTATAATAAAAATAAAATTTTTCTAAATCAGAGGACATGAAGGATTCACTAACAGTTATTGCAATAGTGTATGTAAAACAGCAATTACAAAGAGCCAGAAGGAAGCCAGTTTTGAATCATATTATGACTCACAGTTGTGACCAGCAGAGTTGAAATGGTCACAAATAAAGTCTCACCATGCCATTTCTCCAGCCACAAAAAGAGAATTCTGAGAAAATGAAATCTCTCCAGATGAGAGACAATAATAATTCACTTTCTCTTTTAATGTTGTTGCTTGTTTCTCTTATTGAGGGGTGTGAGTAGTTCATTCTTTGGGGACCTACTTTACATTCCATGCACAGACTGAGGATGAGAAACAAGATAAAAGTACATCCGCAGATCTCACAGCAAAACATGAATTGAAAGTTATACATTCAGTAACAGAAGAAACATTTCAACAGCCGTGAAATAAATCCACTGAATAAAGAACCTGTAGGTTACCTCAGCAGCATAGTATTTGGCCATGCTTGCCTCCTTTATGAATGGCCTTCCCGTTTCCGCAAGACGAGCCGCGTTGTAGGTCAGCAACCTTGCCGCCTCCAACTGCGTGGCCACCTGAGCTATCTGATGTTGCATCCCCTGGAAGAAGCGTGCCACAAGTCAGACAGAACCAGTATCTAGTACTCAACTGGGATTTCTAGCAAGAAAAGAATCTTTTCACCACGGAACATACCTACACTCTAAAATAAAAACAGAAAACGTAGATGGACTCGCAATTCTGCACATCTCTGCATCTATAACGTTGATGTTGGAAAACCTCTGGGCCACCAAAGCCCTTTTAGAAACTGCACTCCCATTTTCTCCTTCCCTCTTCTTGGATTCAGGAGTATTGGGGAACTACTTGCCTGACTGGCTGGACAGGAGGATTCAACATGAACCTATTTGCACCCATGAATATCAAAGAAAATTTCAGCCAAATCTTAATGTTCTCCTCAGCGCTGCAGAGACACGGGTAGGTCAAAGCTGTATTTTTATTTTGCAGCTGTCTATTCAGAACGTTCATACATTAACAAGTTTAGTTCCCTGATAAGCTTAACTGAGAATGGCTTGTAAAAAGTACCTCTTTAATAAAGCGGGGAACTAGCAAGGTGACAACCACTTCTTCCCATGTCCCATAGCCGTGAGATGAGAGTTAGGAGCAGCATAAAAGTATAGAGGACATGACCGATGAATGGATTCAAAGGGAAGGAAAAAAGTGATGGAGCTCACATCTAAATGGTAGGTATTACAGAAGAATAGGTTGATTTAAGAAGACTCAAACATTACGATGACTGAAAAAGAACATTTAGTAGCCTAACTTGCTCCTGAACCACAATGAAATCTTTCATCTTATTAGAACACTAACACTGCTCCCTAAAATTTGCAAAAATATCTACGCAGGTCAAAATAACAAAATGATTTGGCAATTATAAATTCCATTTCCCATTCAGAGACGCAGTTCCAATCATTTCCTAGATATCTGTGGGTGCTTCCTAAAATTTGTATAAATTATGAGTAGTACTAATGTTCCTTCTCTTCAGCCGAGATGTAGGTTTCTTTTAAAAAGAAAATTACTATAGTAATTACAATTATATATCTTCCTTATTAAACTATACATCATTTCTGCAACAAAGAGTCTTTTTCGCTTTAAGATACAGATATTATCATGAAAACTAAATGTCTTTGTATAACACAGGAAATCTAATAATTCAGTTTTCCTCATCTTTTTATAATTTCTAGTGTCCCCAGAAAAAGGTCTTCCTCCACATCTCGTGAAAGGGTATGAAAACTGGAACACATTCAACATACCATGATATTAAAATCAGAAGAGAAAGGAGTTCCATGTATATTATTTTCAGAGGCAGTGAATATACTATCAAGCAAAAGGAGTTATGTTAATAATGTTTTGAAATTTTAAATGATTTATATGGTACTTGCGAAGGCACATAGCACTGAATTTATGTATTTTACATGGCAGATGAACGCTCATCCGAAATTCTTTTGAAAAACTCCCCTCAAATATTGAGAAGTAGAGACATGACACAAAGTGGAGCACAAATTATGCAAATTATGTTTTACTGACTTCATCTACTGTGGTAACTACTGCTCTCCTGCAGGAAATTTCCCATGTGTCCACTAACAAGTACCTGGAAATCGAATACACTTTTCCCAAACTGGACTCTCTCCTTTGTATAGGGAATCGTATGGTCGAAACACCCCTGTGCCAGTCCTAACATCTGTAAGAAATGAGGTGAGTTAGGACAAAAAGAAAAAAAAAAAAGAATCAAACTTTGAGGAATAAACCTATTCCATTCCTGAAAGAAACTTTCTTACTAAAGGCAAACCACGTGTGAAAACAAAATTACTAATTTTTGAACAAAACTTACAGGTCAACTGTGATTGTGCAAATATTAAGCGTTTCTGGGAAAATTCTTAATTACATGGGAAAATTACTGTAAACTAAAGATCTGTAGATCTACATTACGCTATTAATGGAAAAATAATTTGAATGATTTTTCAAAGCTGTTTTTGTAATCAAAATAATTTCTCATTTCACAGAAGACACTAGACTGTCAGAACTAGCAATCTATTTCAGAAGGTAGAAAATTAGTATAGTGGAAGGTGATAACATTTGTGACAACATTTTCTAGGAAAAAACAATTCATCAGAACAATTTTAGAAGACAGACTGTCTTTTCACACACTCTCTTCACTCGGCAGCAAAGACAGCAAAACACAATCGTTATTTTGGAGGATAATATCTAGGAAAAGTCTATATGAATATTTATAGAAAAGTAACACGTCTATCTTAGTGTCTGACTTGTTAGCCTAAAGAAACATGATGAAATCTGGAAAGTAAATTAGTTTTATTTTTGTTTAAACACTGAATTTTGAGAAGTGTGTTTCATCCTAAACAAGATAGCAGAACAAGAATCCTGCCTTTCATATACCTTGGAATACATAGCTATTAGTAAAGATTAGCTGGTTTCAGTACATAGCTACCATCCATCTGAATACATTCTTTCTACCTAGTTTTTTTCCCTAGGAAAAACAAAGATAGGAAATTAGATTAGTGGAAGTATCAAACAAGAGTGAAAAAAAAATAAAAGGGAATTGAATGGCATGAAGAACTATCAGAAAGCAAAGTAACAGTACATGGTAAAATTGGAATCTTATAAAAGTTGCCTAAGTCAAGACAGGACACTACAAGGTGGCAGTCAGCTGTCACATCACGCAGCTTATGTCAAACCACTTTCAATGATGTACAACAGTGTATGGGTATTTTTGGATAGACCCACATATTAAGCTGAAAGCCAAGGGCCCCAAGAAGATTAAAAACATGACTCTGACTGGGTTCAGACATCTACTCCTTCCTCAACAAAACGACATAATACACAGGAAAATGTGTATGTGGGAAAAGAATATAATAATAATAATAATAATAATAATAATAATAATAATAATAATAATAATAATAATAATGATGTCTGTTGCTAATTGGCTGTATTACCAGATCTGTTGCCTTTTTTTATAAACTCATGTAGATGACTCAACTAGATCAGCTTCAGCACCTGTAGCGATATATGTGGCTACCTTGCACTAAAATTACCTGAAACTGTTTTCACAGCCACAATTACATTTTATAAGATATTCATTATCTTTTAAAACTATTACTACTACAAAACTAAATTCAATACTACAGGGCTTTAGAACTGCTGTTCTTGTCCACCCAAATACACTTCTCTTAATTTGAAAGTGCCAAGAAAGTAGTAACTAAGATATAACAACTATCTGACCTTAACTTTTAATTAGGTTATAAGTGTAACTTGGAGTAATTAAGAGTAAAATTCAGACCATGTATTTTACTGCTAGAGCCTCAATATTATTTATATCTCTGGGAACAATGAGGCCCACAGCCCTAGTTTTTAAATGCCATATCAGACAAAGTTTAATCACAGATAATCTTTAGGAATGATGGAAAAGCCAACCCATTTAGCAGCACAGTATACTGCCATGTGGAAAGTTTAAATTTCATGAGGATGATAACTTCTGGTCTGTCTGCAAACTAGGGCGAAAGATAAGGGAGACTGGTAGTACAGTCATATTACACCCTATACAGCACAACTACAACCACAACAAAATAGAAAAAAAGAAAAGATTACTTTCAAAAATAAATTAAAACCATAAAAACTTGTCATAAGTCATTTTATTAAAGGGCTGAATCTGATTTCCCCTGAAATCAGCAGCAATCTGAGATCCAAACTGAGTTTGCAACAAAATACTACATTTTGAAATAACTCCAAGGTCAGCAAATATTTTCCCCTAAAATGCCATAAGGTTCAATTTTCAAACACAACAATGAACTAGAACATTTCTGCTATTAAAAAAAAAAATTTATATTTATTTTTAAAATAAGTTGACTTCTAAAAAGAAGTCGTTGGGAAAACATCAGTTAGCATAAGATCACATTTGGCAATCCCATACAATCATAGCTGGAAGCATTAAAATTAAACATTTCAGTGTGCTATACCTTCCAAAGGCAGTTTCCTTTGCAAAATATATTTGCGTAATGGTAGACAAAAATGTTGATATATTTCAGAAGTAAGTTAACCACCAAAGACAAACTAATTGCCATTTAATGTTTTCTAAATCTATTGCTTATGTCGCCCAAGGAGAATTTTACCATTTACTGTGGTTTCAGTATTTTATTGCAACTTAGATACAGGAATAGTGACACCTAGTGGCAATTTAGTTTTTAAGAAAGTATTTTCTAAGGAGTTTGCTCCCAGTAGCTGTAAATACTTTGTAAATGTCAGTTTCAATTCAAACTTATACACTGGCTGTATTTATTATTAAACAAAATTACCCACCTGTGCAGCAATACCTATTCTGCCAGTATTTAACATTCCAATCGCATACTTATAGCCTTGTCCGACCTGTCCCAGGATATTGGTTTTAGGAACCTAAAGAATGAAACCACTCAATTAATCCTTTTCTATTCTGCTTTGCAACTGCTAGTAGGGTTAACAGATGAATCAGAATACATGTTTTATTTAATGTTTCTCCTAAGTGAAGGCAGAAAACATAAAGCAGACATCTGATTCCTAGAATATCTGATTAGAACATTTCCTAATACATATGATTACAAACTGATGACTAAGAAAAACTGTATCACAACTGAAGAAACCCAATCCCCCCTCAAGACTTCTGTGAAAGAACTGGGAGGGAAAAGTTAAAATATGCCAGTCAGTATGTCTAAGGAAAAAAAAAATGGGCATTTAGTTTAACATTCTTTCCTTATATGTGGTCAAATTCCAATTATACACAAATTCTGCTTCAACAGCTGAACAACTCAACCGTACCTTTACGTTTTCAAATGTTACTGGGCAGGTAGAAGATGCTCTAATTCCAAGCTTGTCCTCCTTCTTCCCTACATGCAGTCCCTCTGTGTTGCGATCTACTATGAAGCATGTAATTCCCCTGTATCCCTAGGACAAATTAAAAAATAATCAAGAACTGAGTTTTATACTAATATCACCAAATGATGGTCTAAATATCTCATTCCAATACTGAAATTTTACACCTGCTTAATATTATATTACTAAATAAAACACTGATACTGTCATCTGTTCCCTCTGTGTCTCCTAATTATGGTTTAACAAAGGCCAGAGAGACTTTTCTATTAAAATATTCCACATGGAAAACATAATCAGAACAACCTTAAAAGTTCTCATGATAAGACAGGGAACTGGTATTATGTAAATGAAACAGAAAGGACTGTGGTGCCTGTCCATACTGGCAATCACTGGGAAAGCAAGCTGTTGCTCTGCAGTGAAGTCACTGCTTGTTGTTGGAACACATGTCACAGTAAAACAATGGACTGCAAGAAGACATCAGGTTATCTGTAGACTAAAGTGGTCAAACGAATAATGGCTCTAAACTCATCTGTCAGATGATTCCCTAGGATGCAAGATTTTCCTTAAGCCAAATTACTTCAGCTGCTCTTCTCATGGAAGGCTCCAGATATACTCTTCCTTTTAAGGATGTCCAAAGGAAGAGCACTGACTGATGAGACTGGTGTCACTGGGAACTGTGCTTGAACATTCAAACTTCAGCCTAATTGTAACAGACCTAATTGTATGGTAACAGTCCTAATCTAACACCCAGAATTGGTGCATACATTCTCCCTGTGATTCCAGTTTGCAGAACACTGATATCACTGTCTCTTCACTTTAGAGAGGTAGTGGGGATATAATTAATAAAGTAGTCTGAAGTCATGATGATGGTTGTTATCAAAAAGCTCAAAAAGTTGATTTGGTATTGTCCCGGATGAAATTATTTCACATGATTATTACTTAATAGGAATTTAAGATTCATTAATCGTGTGAGGTAGATCAAGGATGAATTTCAGCAGCACTTAGTGATTTATTAATTTAAAGATTAATAAAGTGTTTTGTTGATACTGATATGTTATGTTTAAAATAGTGAATTACAGATTTGAGAATGACAAGACTCATACTAACTTACTACAAAGTATTCTATATCAGTGGAGAGATATATTTATCTATGTACATATGTATAAACACAAAACATACAGACACACACAAAGAGCAGAATATTCCATCATCCGAGTTGCACTGAAATGGAAAAGTATCTGACAAAAGTGAATTATCTCAGCCCCTATAAATAGTGATCCCAAGCGAGACCCTTTGAGCAGGGGTCTTTTAACAGTCTTATCACAGTCAGCATGACATCAAAGAAATGTATCAAGTGTTAAAAAGAGTCAAAAAGGATGGAGAACACCAATGGTGGGAAGTCCTGTTTGGATGGTCTCCAACAGCAACTGGAACACTGAACCTGATGTTGCATCCCATCGTAATTTTAGTAACTGCTGTGACATTATGCTTGTTGTTAATCATTGCTTTATATGTTAAGAGTTTGGAGGATGGCTAAACCAGTTACACTTACGGGGAGATCTCCTCGTGTATATATTCCTTCACGTACATAATATTGCTTTAAATCACACTTAATTAATAGAGACTAACGAAACACAAAATTTCCCTCAAATTATAACTGGATTACAGTACTGCCTGTTTATAGGCATAGAGGCAAGAGGCAACCACACTGCCACTCTATGGAGGAGATAAACTGACTTTACTCATGGGGTGGACTGTGCTGGTCCAACTGCCTCCCCTGAGCTGCCCATACTTAGTGCCATTCCCCGCTGGGCCACACACGAACCCAAGATGAATGGGGAAAGGTAGTGGGCCAGAGTCTTCAGACACTCCCTTAATGCTCTGGATTCCTAGCTCCCCTATCAAAAGGAAACACACTGCATGCCAACTCAGAATGGACTGGGAAAGAGAATGGACCAGAGCCTTAAGGCATCTCCTCAGGCCCCTCAGTGCCTGCTCCTCTCTTCTCTTATCTTTTAAGAACAATAGGAACAATCCCTCCTGACAGCCTAGGCTATCCACACTCAGGTCCAAAGGGGGTGACACCAGAACTCCAAGATTTAGCAAGTCCTGGGCTTGCACAATGGATAGAAAATACCACAATATTTCATCATCCGAGTTGGACTGAAATGCAAAAGTATCTGACAAAAGTCAGTTGTCTCGGCCCCTATAAATAATGATTCCAAGCAAGACCCTTTGAGTTCTCCTGGATGGCAATGGGCTGTGACCAGCATCTCCCTGCAGCTGGGACACCTCTAGGGCTCAGACTCCTGGAATTTTCAAGATCCTCTGCTCAGAAAGCCACAAAAGGTCGGGGTGAAGTCAGACTTCCTCTTAATTATCCCCCATTGAGAGAACCTATGCATTGTATTTGCTTCAAACATAAGAAAAGGGAAATGTTAACTACAGACTAGTCTCTTCCATCCACCTCTTTACTTATCTATGTGCTTAAATATGCACATTTACCTTTAGGAGTGTGGATGCCTACATATTCTGCTGGATATCCAAAAATTTCTGCATTGTCTGTGTGTGTGTGTTTGTATATGTTTTGTGTTTATACATATATATATCCTTTGATTTAGAATACCTTATAGTAAGTTAGTGTGATGGGGGGAGACAGAATTTTGCTAAACAGCGATGAAGCTAATGGCTATGGGGTCCTGGTGTCTTTTTAAATGCTGGCCCCAGCCCCCTGAGTGACCCCCACTCACAATCAAGCAGACTGGCATACTGGGCTGGTAGCACTGATGTCTTAGAGAGAACAAAACCTTTACTAATATCTATAAAATCTGTACATCAACTCTCCACAGCTTTTACAAAGGCTGCTGTACTCAAGCTGTACATGAACGCCATCCCACCAATGTTCCTGTCTCAGCACCTGTAGCTCCCACTATACTTAAACCATTGATAAAAGGAGCCCGTGCTGCATTCAAACCGAGATGAAATCCAGAGGGACTTAAATCATAATGAATTAATAAACTTAACGCAAGTCTTTAAAGATAAAAACAAAGAAGAACTAGCAGGAAGGGAGGTCCCTACATGGGCAGTGTTAACGCATGAAGTTGTAATTCATGCGCAAGAAATGGGATGGCACGAAATTCCCAGCGAAACAAAAAATACAGGTCCTGCTGTTAGGCAAATTAAACTATCACATCAAAACGGCTCCCAAAAGCCAAAACAATTAAAGGCCCAGAAGTGAAGAAACGAGCTATGGACACAAGCACTGGCAGTGGAAATCCCTTGAGCGGCGATCAGAGACAGCCTGCCGGCCTTATTCTGATTCTAGTGTTTCAGAAACACAACATCCCAAATACTCCAACCCCCCACTGCAAACTCCTAGAGGGAGAAATAACCTTTTCCTTCCTCGAAGGGATCAATTACAAGACACAAACCAAAAAACTAATAGTGTCCGGATGGCAACTGGGCCTGCCTGCCTGGCAAGTAGAAGCTTATCAATGGCTAAATGAAAACGGCCCTTACAATTTCATTCCAGTTGCTCGTCGACAACAATTAACAACATTTTAAACTGATAGTGGATCACAAATTTCAATAATTACAGAACAGGAAGCCGACAAGCTAGGCACACAACCTGGCTGGCAATAGGTTATAATTGCTGGAGTTATGGGAAGTAGTACTGTGCACCAAACCACAAAAGTTAATTTATGGCTCCCTGGCAAAAAGCATATGACATCTTTTCACTTTGCAGTTAAGAGGAAGCATGAACACAGATTAGGTTTCAATGCTTTAAACAGTTGAACCTGGCATCTGCCATCTTTTGGTTCAAATACCAACCCTAATCCTAACAGAAATCAGCAAACTGCCCCAGTACCTCCCAAATCAAAAATCACTCATGGCCCGCAACACTCAATTTCTGCTGCGGCATGGACTGGAATTTCTGAAGTAATTACAGACAAATTATTTCCCAAACTCACTCCTCATAGATCACTCTAGTTTGGCCAGCTGGTAAACAGGAGGGGAGAAGGCATTTAACCATCGGTTATGGGCACTTAAAGGCCAATACAGCCCCACTGACGGCTGCAGTCCCCAACACTGCAACCTTAACAGCTACTTTACCAGCTGCAAGACTAAAAAAAAATGTTAGCAAGACTTCTGGCTTATAGCTGCACACGCCTGGACCGCAGAGCTAGATGTGAAAGATATGCTCTTCATGGTGCCCTTGCAGGAGGAAGATAAAGAGAAATTCGCTTTTACATGGGAAGGTATCCAGTATTCCTTTAATAGACTCCCACTGGGATATAAACACTCCCCCACAAGTGCTCAGCCACGCTTGCTGAACTCCTACAAACAATTGCGGAACACAGTATTTACTGTAATCTATCTCAAACCCATCCTGATGGACCAAAAAGACCTTTACTATACAGCTCGACAGCTTTTAAAGAAACAGAAAGAGGTATGCTGAGTGGGAAAAGGGTCTTTTGTCTTTAGTCTGTGCAATTAACCCTAATTAAACCACGAGGATCTCTAGCATGGGATGCTATTGGAAGTAATGAAATAAACCACAAAATCTGTAAAAGATGGATTTATCCTGTATCATAAAAGGGGTAACCTGATCAGCCTTCCCCACTGAGACCATTCTCTTTCTCTTTACCAGCAACAATGAATTTCACCAGTGACAACATGAGGACAAACAATCCGACTAACAGCACGTTGGCAGCAATTCTCATCTTGGATGTCACCATCTTCACAACACTGTGCCTTACACCTCCTCGCCCTTGATGCACTGATCCACTGGGATATAAATCAATGGCAACAACAACAATGGCTATATGCCCCTTCCCCTTCTCTTTTCTTGCTCACTGGAGTGAGTATATTCACAATGGCCCAAGCACGAGATCCTTGGGACCATGTGCTACCAAAATACACTGGAAGCACTGGCACACCAGACAACAAGCTTGAGAAACTGGACAAAAGTCTTATCACAGTCCAGCATGACATCAAAGAAATGTATCAAGTGTTAAAAAGAGTCAAAAAGGACGGAGAACACCAATGGTGGGAAGTCCTGTTTGGATGGTCTCCAACAGCAGCTGGAACACTGAACCTGATGTTGCATCCCATCGTAATTTTAGTAACTGCTGTGACATTATGCTTGTTGTTAATCATTGCTTTATATGTTAGAGTTTGGAGGATGGCTAAACCAGTTACACTTACGGGGAGATCTCCTCGTGTATATATTCCTTCACGTACATAATATTGCTTTAAATCACACTTAATTAATAGAGACTAACGAAACACAAAATTTCCCTCAAATTATAACTGGATTACAGTACTGCCTGTTTATAGGCATAGAGGCAAGAGGCAACCACACTGCCACTCTATGGAGGAGATAAACTGACTTTACTCATGGGGTGGACTGTGCTGGTCCAACTGCCTCCCCTGAGCTGCCCATACTTAGTGCCATTCCCCGCTGGGCCACACACGAACCCAAGATGAATGGGGAAAGGTAGTGGGCCAGAGTCTTCAGACACTCCCTTAATGCTCTGGATTCCTAGCTCCCCTATCAAAAGGAAACACACTGCATGCCAACTCAGAATGGACTGGGAAAGAGAATGGACCAGAGCCTTAAGGCATCTCCTCAGGCCCCTCAGTGCCTGCTCCTCTCTTCTCTTATCTTTTAAGAACAATAGGAACAATCCCTCCTGACAGCCTAGGCTATCCACACTCAGGTCCAAAGGGGGTGACACCAGAACTCCAAGATTTAGCAAGTCCTGGGCTTGCACAATGGATAGAAAATACCACAATATTTCATCATCCGAGTTGGACTGAAATGCAAAAGTATCTGACAAAAGTCAGTTGTCTCGGCCCCTATAAATAATGATTCCAAGCAAGACCCTTTGAGTTCTCCTGGATGGCAATGGGCTGTGACCAGCATCTCCCTGCAGCTGGGACACCTCTAGGGCTCAGACTCCTGGAATTTTCAAGATCCTCTGCCCAGAAAGCCACAAAAGATCGGGGTGAAGTCAGACTTCCTCTGAATTATCCCCCATTGAGAGAACCTATGCATTGTATTTGCTTCAAACATGAGAAAAGGGAAATGTTAACTACAGACTAGTCTCTTCCATCCACCTCATTACTTATCTATGTGCTTAAATATGCACATTTACCTTTAGGAGTGTGGATGCCTACATATTCTGCTGGATATCCAAATATTTCCGTGCTGTTTGGGTATGTTTTGTGTTTATACATATGTACGTATACATCTTCTTTGATTTAGAATGCCTTGCAGTAAATTAGTGTGAATCTCATCATTGTCAAATCTGCAAATAAATCACTATTTTAATCATAACATACCTTGCCAAATCACCTTGTTAATCTTTAAATTAATCAACCATTAATTGCTGAAGAAATTCAACCTTGAGCTACTTCACACTGTTAAGAAAACTTAAATTGCTATTAACTGAGAACCATGTGAAATAGGTTCATCCAGGACAAGTATTCAGATAATGATCTGGACAGAACACTAAATAATGCTTGTGACAACATATAAATAGATTGTTTAGCCAATCTAAATTCTGGTATCTCCTACATATAGGCTCACAATCTTCACATCTTCGATGCCTTAAACCAGATTCTTGAAGTACAGAACAGTGATTCCTGATAGCTATCACATTCTCTTTCTCCCTCTGTGTATTTCTTATTCCCCATCCTCTCTCCTTTCTACCACTCATTCTTGCTCCCTCATCATTTCCCCCAGCCAGCACCACAGAAGTCTCTTATTCAACATACCACAAGGTTCATGAGACAGAAATGCAAGGGATTCCTGGCCATGTTTCCATCTCTTCCTGCCCCTAACGTCTGCAGCACCTCCTCTCACTGGAGGGTGACACTGAGAGGCAGGAAAGTTCCTGTGGTTCTTCTGGAAGAGTTGCCTCTTATTAAAGAGAAGGCTGTTGTTACAATCTCTCCTCAGTGACAGCCCATCTCACCAAATGGGAGCTGCTAGTGCAGAGCGTACATCTCAGTACACAATTCTACACTGGTCTGTTCTCTCCTTTAAACTGACATCGTTATTTAATCTTTGAGCAGCACTGGTTTTTAATCTCCTTCTTGAATATTTAAAAATCAATTTCTCACTTAAAGCAGACAATGTATTATATATATTTTTTAAATGTTACAGTAATACAGAAACAACTCCAGATTATATAGCAATGCACAGCAGTTAACAAATACAAGAAACTGGCTTATCAAATATAATTTCATTGTGTGTAGCACTCAAATTGCCCACTAGCTTGTGAAGAAATAACTACAAATTCAGAAAGCAATGGAATGTTCAACTGTTTGATACAATGAAAGAACCCCCCTTCTATTTAGTCAAAACCTGAAATTTAAATTTTAGAAGTAACTATCTTCAAGTTATATTTCAAAGAAAGATACTGAAAATTTAAAAAATAAGTAAGTGTTAAGCAATTTAGTTTTGTATTTGATTATTGCTCTACCATATTGGTATGGTCCATTTTAAAGCCTGCAGTTGACTTTTCTGAATCTACTACCTATACCCAAACTGGTGACAAAACTTGAAACATGCACATTCAGCTATGAATTTTTTTACCTGAACATACTTTGCTGTTGCATTCTTGTTAGTTTTCCAGTGTATTTAGACTAAGCTCTATTTTGCCTTTTAAGAACAGCAACTTGGCAATTAAGTTAGAAAGGCTGCCAAGACAGTCTCTCTGTTCTTCTGTTGCTCAGAATAATATTCTGTGCTCTTCATCTAAGCAATTATGATTCTGACATTTTTATTTTCCCTAGTGGGAGGAATTTATTAAATTGCCTAACAAGTTTGCTACTTTTGTTGGGAAATATTTTTAAAGGTTCAAAGAATATTAGCCTTTCACATGAGACTATTAATATAAAATCCATAGGTTCATATATCATCAGTTGTCACTGAAATGCAACTATTTTTGAGCTACTTACTAAGGACGGATCTGTATTTGCCATCACAAAGAAAACTCCTGCGTGTTCTGCTAGGCTAATCCACATCTTTGAGCCGTTGATAATATAGTAGTCTCCTTGCTTTTCAGCCCGAGTTTTCAAAGAAAAAGCATCACTGCCAGATCCAGCCTCTGAAAGGCAGAAACTGCCTATCTGTCAATTGAAGGGAAAAATTAATTTTAATTTTTACTAAACATATAGGCACAACATATAACAAATTCTGCAATGTAAACAGTTACAAACAAGCACAAGCCTCTTAAATTCAAACATTTTAACCTACTGCATTGAAGTAACAAATTTTCAGATACGGAGATTAAAAAGAGAAGCACTGTGTAATTACACATCTCTCAGTTAACTGCTTTAAAGTTGTATTCCACGGTAAATTAAATTTTAATGAAACTAATAAGCACCCTTCCACTTTTACCTCTCAACTACTGATGACAGGTCGTATCTATATCACCACAGATCTCAGCTCTGAAACACTGGTTAAAGTTCACACATATTCCAATCCTGTGGTCACCCAATTTAGTTACTGAAAAAACCCACAACAGTAACATTACTTAAGTATTAAAAATTGTATTCTAGTTTAGTAAAGCGAGAATTTGACTCACTGTATCTTTAGCGACTCTGGGCAAGTAAGTTCTCTTTTGTTCTTCTGTTCCATATGTAGTAAACAACCTATTTGTTAGTGTATTTTGGAGTTCACACAGAAGAGATACAGCTGGATCAACTTTGGCCAGTTCTTCTACCACCAATATGACTGAAAAAAATGAAGCTCCAGTTCCTCCATATTCTTCCCCAAGCTCAATACTCATCAGCTGCAATACAAGAGATGCAGATATATCAATCTGTTGGTTCCTGTCAACAACTTGTTAGTCCAAGCTGATACTTAAGAGATTAAAATGAAAACCACAAAATGTATTGCCAGATCCTTCCCCAAAGACCTGTTTTCCTTCAATAGCCTTAAACTAACAATTCTTCGCAGAAGTTGATAGCCAATTCATGCAAGAAATAACTAACATGTGCAGTACACAGGCCAATCGTCACCCCAATCTGATTTCCAGAACTACTGCAATCTAAACAGAAGTCTACTATTTAGAGTTGTTGTATAAAATGACATTCTAAACCCAGACAAGCTTTATGTTTGATAGGGTGCAAAGTCTATAACTGAATCCAGGAATAAACACAAGTCCTTGTGGTTGCCCAGTGAGGACACAAAGGACTTCTGATACCATTTTCCAACAACACTTATCAGAGTCACAGCAGTTCTAACATTTAACATGCTGTGTGATTACACTTATCCAATAAAAAAAAAAAGGGGGGGGGGTAGGCAAGGCACTCAAGATTAAGAATGTGGTAAGGGAGAGGGAGAGATGGAAAGAATTATTACAGTAAAACATGGGGATTAATAACGCAGTAAAAAAGAAGATAAAGTTGTCTTGCTGTTAAATACAGAATTTTTAATGATTCATTAGTTAATTTGAATTCTACTCCTCTATCTTTTAATCTAGAAATCTGAAAAGTGCACATCTAGAGACTCATAAAATTATGTCACGTTCTGAATAAAAGATTAAGTGTGCAGACCCCTTGTTCAAACAATCCCTGTATTACAGAGTCTTCCATTTTCGAATTCTCATCCATTTTTTGCACCAAAGGTGCAACTCGTTCCTGAGCAAATTTTGTCACTGTAGCGAAAAGAAAGAAAGAAAAGAGTGTAAGTATTCTAACACTCTCCTTGAAGATCAATGTAACAGTAATGTGGTACTACTGACAGGTTATGCATATATTTCCTGACTCCCAAGCAAGTTAATAAAAGGACAAAAAGTTGCCCGAGTGAAACAAGGCGATGTGCCACCAGGCTCAATTATAACTGCTTTCTGTATCAACTACAACTCTCTAAATCAAAACAAATACTTCCTATAAATTCAGAAAGTTTGAAAGTATCTCAGCAACACTTATATAACATTGGTTGACCACAGAAAATATTTCAAATACATCCCTTACTCGGTGAGCTGTATTGTATTTCTTTATAAATTAAAACTGCAGTTTGGGAAGATGGTCTCAGGCTTTAATGCTGTTATTTTGAGTGCTCAAAATCCTGTAAGACTGACCAGAGCCTTTTATACGCTCTCTCTCAGATGTGCAGGTCCTCACTCTTCCACCTTTGCTCTGAAACACTGTCTTTGTCGTGCAGGCCTGGAGGCATGGCAGACACATCTGTCACCATTCTGGGTATACTTTAAATCTCTGCAAACCAGCCCCAGCAGCTAACTGGAGCTGAACTGAACACTTCAGAAAGGGCACAAATCAATGCCAGGCAACTTCAGATCTGCGACAGCAAGTTTTAAACACTTACTGTTTATTTATGCAGAGTAAACTGCACTGTGGTATGTGGAACTGCTACGGTAACATGGAAAAAGAACACTACATTTTTCTCTTCTTAACTAAAGCAGTTTTAAAATTAAGCACAATCCCCCACCACAACCTCAACATTTAACTAGAATTAAATAATAACAAGAAATTTTTTAAGCTAAAATTTTCCTTCTAGTTAAACATTTCCGAATTTTAACTACACAGATAATAGGTACCCATATCTTTCAGCATTGTCTCCTCTTCGGTGAATGTCTGAAGTGGAGCACAGATAACTCCATCACTGGCTAGATTTGGCATGAGTTCCGATTTGGAGGATCTAGAGACACGTGGGGAAGCTCTCCAAGGAGCCAAGTACGCTGGCAAATTTCTTTTCAGCTGTTGACAATAAATACAGAACATGCAAACAGTTAATGGAATTTGCATTTGTAGACAGTCAGCAATACACAATTCTACCCCATTTTTTTTATTCAGTGATTACAAAATATAACATTCAATGTCTAGTTTGAAAGTTTTTGAGAAGAAATAACCCCCCAGTGTCCTAAAACGAAATATCCTTTAATCACTCTTCTTTTAATCCTAAACAATTTTCTTTCTGGAAGTTTGCTTACACGATGTTATTCTACAAAGTATTCACAAACGTTCATTTTAGTCAGTTTTCATGTGTTCAGCAAATAAACCCTGCTGATATTATTTAGTTTTATAAGGATTTTGCAAGGCTTCAATATTCATAGTAGTGTGTATTTTGATAGAATATCTTCATTAACAAATACAGTAAGAATAAATATGAAAGAGACATACAAATGTTTTTTTACAGAAGACTTATCACGTTTAATGATAGACATAGCTTTCTCTCTGGTTTTCTAGGGACCAGAAACTTGTTTCTAAAGCAATCTGATAGCACTTCATCCGGATTATTGGCATTTTGATGTGAAAGGGCATAACTTTTAACAACACTGGATTTTTGTATTTAAACTGAGTTCTTATCCACCACTTAATGATTTCCAGAATGGCACACATTTGAATTCCTCTGTACAGTTAATTTCTATGTAATTAGTTTAAATCCTATTGATAGTATGTTAATAGTTAATAATTAAGATATACAATTTCAAATTAAATCATGAAGAATTGCTTATCCACCCAAGACAGAAGAAGTGTCACAGGGCATTTTACTACAGGGGGAATGGTGTTACACATATGTGGCAAAAGGAACAAAACCAAACAGAACAGACAGTGGCTTTTGGGAGCAAGCTAAGCACAGTGATTGTCAGGTGGGTGGACACAGATAATGTGACAGGTAATTAGTTTTGTACCCTGGAAACCTATAAACCACTTAGTGTTCAGAGACTTACTCAATAGGTAACAGCAGGCTTTAGAAAGTAACACGTTTGATTTGAAAGTTAATTTACTCTATAACCACTAATTTCTTAGGATTTTAAGAAAAGTTAGCATAATGAATATGATCTGGCTCGAAAAGTAACAGGCTAACAGTAGCTAAACTGCTACAAAATGTATTCCTGAAAAGCAATATTCAAAGAAGCAGCACAGCTTGATTGACTGATCTCAAGTGGCAAGACAGAAAAACGTCTTTGCTCTCATAGCTCCCCAAGCTCGACTTACTGTGGCTAACATCTACAGATCAGATCTTTGCTACAGATAGCTGTCACTATTGCTATGTCAGTCTAAAGTGTGGAGATACTAATGTCTTACCAAGACAACTGCTGACAGAAGCCCCCAGTAGAGACACAGCTGTGCCATAAAAATAATGTATATACAAGCATATGCCTGCCAACATCCATTTTTGCCAGCACACACTGTTAACCCCAGAGCGAGCAGACCCACTGCCTCTGCTGTAACCACACTGCTGTTTAGCTCACAGAATACAAGACAATTTTGCAATGCACACTGTGATAGAAGCATTCCTGAAAAAAATGGCAGAAACTTTGGGGTCAGGAAGTAGAAATTCCTTTGATCCTCCTAATAATTCACTCTTTCATGTTGGCTTTCAACACTTGTCATCCTCCTGGCTAAGGAACTGATGTAAACCAGATATATAGTCTCTTTCTGTCTCAGGGACATGATGCATAAGTCTATTACGGTAAAGAAACTCCAACTTTAGCACAACCAGTCATCCATGCCCAAAAAAACAGTCGGAAGTGGTAATATGCAAAACAAATATTGCTGTGAACATTCAACATTCATTCACACTCAGCATCCCATGTCCCATAAAACAAATATTGACTAGTGGGGCTGATTCATGAATATAGGTTGGATGATCAG